CTTAAAGGAGAATTTGTAAATCAATCAGGTAATAGATTTAATCACATTGTTTAAATAAAAAAGAAGGTTTTGTGTTAGAAAAACATCAAAAAAATTGATTATTATTAAAAAGTTAATCCAGCTCAAAACATATTTATATTCTTTTTTTTAATGCTCTCCATTTTATATATTTTGAAAAACGAATTTAAAAAAAGCAATCGCAAACGTTTGAGAGTATAAATCTGTAATTGATTTTGTACATTAAGTCACAAAAATATATATTTGTTCATCAAATGTACTTCCTAAAGAATTACGAATTGAAATGTTTCTTTACTCTCTCTGACTTATTCTAATATGATTTATACCAACAGTGGTGGAAGGCAAAAAATTTCAAAAAAGCCTCTATTCAATCTAAGATAGCCATTTTTATGAATTCTTAATGCATTTGTAAACAATGGTTATTTACCAGCAAAATAGGGAAAAGGGAATTTTTGAGGATATGAATCATTATGCTTCTATTTAACAAATAAAACTATATATTTCAATTTTCCTTCACTTAATTTCAGAATCTAGAATCTTAAGATTCGCCAAATGGCAGTATTTTATTATTATACTAAAATATCCAATGTTTAGCTAAAATCTTCATACTGATAACAGGACATAGACAATAGCTGAGATTATTGTGAAAACTTATTTTAGAAGCAGGTAAGTTTGTATCATAGAATTACACATATTTCTGAAAGGCCCAAAATCGATAGAAAATAAAATGGTAGGCTATTAAATTTAATTATAAAGTAATAGAATTTGGATGAAAATCTGATCCCATATTTATTATATCACAATTATTTGTTCTTCAATGAATTTATAGTTAAAATCATTGAATAACAGTCTATTTATTGTTAAAATTAGTTTAGTGTTAAATTTTAATTTATTTCTATATTTATTGATTTTTGGGACACTTAATATTTAAAAATCTACTTTATATTTAAATCCTAATGTATCTCAAAAATGGCAAGCAAGTTTTACTAGAATTTTAAGGTTGTTGTCCAAAAGGTTCTGAAAACTTGATTATATTGGAATTTCTTTAATAAGAGGATATAACTATGTCCATGATAAGAATAATGTTTTTGCTTTCTCTCCGTTTAATTCATTTAAAATAATTTATTTAACTTTTTCAGGTTTTTATACACAGGTAATACCATTATTTGTCAATATCCTATTCTTAATAATAAAAAATGATTAGCATTAACAACAATCATTTTTGTTTTTTTATAAAAATGATACTTAATTGTAAAAATTTCTTAAAATTTGTTTTTGATAAGTTTATCACACTATTTTAGAATTTCCTTAAGTTCTTATAATTTTATTTAAAAAAACAAAAAAAATTTTATTTCTTCTTTATTGATATAATTATTAGATATACATCAATAATTAGAAAACCATTATTTCTTTACCTTATTAATTCCTTTGCTAAATACCTTAATGAAATTTTAAAATATATTTAAATCACACTTACATCTTAGAGAACGTACAATAATTTATATTGTATTATTACCAATTAGGCAAAAATAAGAATTTGTCATATTTTTGCTTTTTAAATTATTCAGCTTTATTATATACAGTTTAGCATTGACTTAACTAATTTAAACTTAGTTCTTCTCAAAAAATCATTTAAAATGATTAAGGTGCATTTTCTATACAATTTCATTATTTCATGTTACTTTATTTCTTAGCTAAATAGCAGTTCTGGCTGCTTGCCTATTATTTATATACAATTAATTTAAACTTAAATATTAAATTGTTGAAACACTAAAGGCTTCTTATTTTTGATTTAATACTCAACTAATTTAATATTTGTAGTTATAAACATTGATTTTCTAATTAAGATAAAAGATATCAAACATTAATCAAATATCAAAATTTTAGTTAATTTCTATTGATTAAATATGACTTTTCTTATTTTTATTTTTGTTTAAAGAATGAAATATTATAGATTTATATTTTAAATTTTTGTCTTGCTTCTCTTATTGATGTATGGCATAATTAGATCATTAACTTTTCTTAAAAGAATGTTATAATAATTATAGTCAACGCATATGTATTCTATAATATTTTACAGAAACAAGCTAAAAGGAGATTGAATACTTTAGTTCAAATAAAAAATCAAAATATTGGGATATCAATCAAATTACACTTAGTTTGTAATCATAAAACTTGATTTGATTGACCTGAATCAGTTGCAACCATTTCCTCGTCTATCCTTTTCTCTCTGAGGATATTGTAGTATAATTTCATGTAATCATCTTTCATACCTCTTCATATAAATATCACAAATAGTTTCTTATTAAAATTATGAGCGTAATTTAAGCCTTATTTCTTACATCCATTATTTTTAGATATTATTTTTAAATTGTCAGTGTTTTCCAAAATATGACATTTCTTTTTGATAGGTCTATCCAAATAAAATCTTAAACAACTATATCATTCTTTGCTTTTCCGGTCCGAGGAAAAGTTAGTCCATTAATTGATGTTGAGTCTTCTCCATCAACAAGAGGTTTAAAATTTAGATGATATCATTAGTCAAGTGATTTGTTAACTCAACTGTGTTTGTTAATTAATATTGGATTGAAGTCAGAAAAAATTCATGTTTATGATTGATTAGCTAACAATTTACTTATTACGTGACACCATTGATATAAGAAGGATGATTTAGTCTTACTTCTCAATTTGATAATTTCTGAAAGCTAATAAATTAAAATAATTTATTACTCCATTTAAGTCATAAATGTGGTTTGATTAAATATTTTCAATCTGACTGGTGAAATATTCCTAACTACCTTAGTTGCTCCCAATCCATCCAAAATTAACAGATCTAGATATCATCATATATTTATTGTCCTTAATCTTGGGTCTTCTGACAACTTTTCCTTTTTAATAAAATCCTAATGAGATATTTAGAGTTCGAAAGGCTATGTATATTATTAAATAAAATAATTGTATAAGAGGTATATTAAGTTGGATACAATTTTAATAAATAGATTTATATTTGTTGAATTGAATTAGTTACTCCAATATGATTAAGAAATTAAATGTATAGATGAAAAAGAAAAAGTCTTAAAAGTAATAATTTGAAAAAAAATTAATGGCAAAAATAATTCGTGTCAAATAAAATTCAGGAACGAAATTTATTTCAATCAATTCAATCTAACATTATCATTATGAGATTCCCTTCTTTCAAATTAATAACTACTTATTTTTTTGAATGAGTTCATTTTAAAGTGTGTTTGAAACATTTTCAGCTAATTATAAACACAATGATATGGTGATAGGTGATAATGGAAAGATTGTTGATGATACTTCTTCTAATGGTGGTGGTTATTGTATGTGTGAGAAAGTGATTCCAAAAATAGGTGAAATACGGTTTGAATTTGAAATACTTAGAATTGCTAATTGGTGTGAAGTTGGAATCGGATTTAGAGAAATGATTAAATAAAATGAATATAAAGGTGATGGTTAAGGTAAAGGGTATTAAATCAGATTTATTATAAATTAGATCATATTTGTTAGGTAATTCGGGTTCAACATATTTTCATCTTTCAAATAATACTCAAGGAAAAGCATTTAATTTCTAAGTTAATGATATAGTGATAATAGAAGTGAGTGTAGAACATAAATATATAAAATGGTCTAAATCTAATTCACAAGATTATTTAGTAAATACTCATAATACATTTAGATCACACAAATTGATACATCCTAAGATTTATATCCATGTGTCTATATGAAAAATTCCAAAATTAAAATCAAATGATATATTTATTTGGATATTAAAGAGAGATTCAATTACTCTATTATTGATTAATAACTTACCGAAATTCTAAAGGAATTACAAAAGGATGGATCTATTTTTTATATAATGCTGAATAATTTGTTGACTTAAACGGATCCTAGTTTTTTAGATCATGACACGCAATTCATGTTTAATAGAAGATACCATTAAATTAGAAAAATAAGGGTCATATTATTCTTAGCTCATCCATACATCTTACAGAGAATCTTTTATCATTTGCTTAGTCCTCTTTCAGATATTGCTAACTATTACTCATTTTTACTTAAGTTCATTTGTTGCTGAAAAATTTAATTACTACATTCTTCATTCTTATTAAAAATATAATCTGATTCCAAGCTCCCCAGGTTTATAATTCTTAATCTGAATTTTTTATTTATATAGCAAATTCTTGATTGATATAATTCTTATCCATAGCTTTAAATCCACAATAACTATATTACTAGATGTTATAGCTTATCTTATTAAACAGTTCATTTCTTCCTTGATAGAGATATCTACATTCAAGATCAAATATTTGGTTTTACCACTATCAATCCTTTATAGTAAGGTAGTAGCTTCCTATTGAGAATCTAAAAATAAGAATTCAAACTAAGCGCATTCATTTATGAGCTAAATCATGTTAGGATATATGAAAATATAATAAAGGCTTTTCTTCAAAACAATATTCGTGAATAACAAATTTCTGAAGTATTAGTCACTCTTACATTCATCAAGTTCCAATATTAGAATTACTTTCGTATGACCCCCTGTGATATGAAGCATAGGTTCAGTTGATTCTATTGTATATTGTGGTCTGCTCATACTCTTTTAGAGTTTTAATTAAGTTATACTCTGTGACTTCTTGATTAATAATAAATAGATTCCACTGTAAGATTTATATATAATTCTCTTTCTTCTAAAGTTAGAATTGTATTTCAACCTATTTTTTTATTACGAAATTTACAATCTCTTGATAAAGCTTATCTATTAAGCTATCTAGAATTAATGTTTACAGTTAATGTAATCCTATTCTATGCATAATCTTATTTTTATATTCATTAACTAGATTCTTGTAGGAAGTATTTAAACTCATTTCATCAAATCTTTAGTATCTCTATTATTTCTATAATAAAGTTATTATAAATACCTATATTACCTATAACCTTTGCTTTGGTTATCTACCAGCATTTTATAAATGTTTTTAATAGTAGTTCAACTAATATCATCCTTAAGTTTTACATTCTCGATTAATAAATTTTCAACAATATATGAATCAAGTATTTAGATATCACCCTAGATTATTAGGTGGATGTCTCAAATGTTATTAATTTAATAAATCGTAGGCAGACTCTCTCAAAACTTCTTTGATCATTCTTTTTCTTTTTCTGAACATTATGAATTTAAAATTCTACCTCGATAATTCGTTTAAATTATGACATAGGGAGTAAGCCAAAACATTTAATCTTTTCTATTCATCTTAAGCTAATAAATTACTTTTTGATATAAGGAATGGAAAATTCAAGGTGAATGATATTATGATTTTAGTTAATCCATAAAATAATGAAGTTGCTTATGATAATTAATAAAACGAGTAATTAAGATATTCCCAAACATTTAACATGTTCAAAACATCAATGGTCTATTTATCAATCAATATTTTAGAAGAATTTTAAAAGTTAAAGTTGTTATTATCCTGAAAGACAACTATTGTTTCAATGATCTAATTATAATTTAAGCTTGTCAACACTTTTATGATATTTTATGAACAACCACATGAAATTGGAATTGAAGTTTTACTAACTTTAG